GCTTAATTCTTTCTCAAGAATTTCACTGTTTTCGAACGCGGAATAGGCACAAATTTTTGTCCATGAATCTAGGCTATCTTAACCATGCCCGCGCTCGGATAAGTGACCGATGCCTCCAGTGACACTGTTACTGTCACCCGTTTACTCGTCCTTCGAGAAGAACCTGAGCTTGACACTCGGCGTCCATCACGACAACGCATCACTGCCCTCCGAGAATATGGTCGCATTTCCCCTCATTGCTGGACAACCCTACACGAGAGCTGTGTAGCGAATCCTGCATCAATACGTGTCGAACGCCCCGTTGCATTTGAAGCGACGTTCTTAGGAAAGACTCCGAGTATCCGAGCCACATGGCTGCTTGAGTATTGAACGTTTCGGTGGCTTCTCCTCTGCTCACCCTTGGGGGCTGAACGTGTATCTGCCGTGAGCTACTTGGGTGTGCTCAACGGTGTCCTCCACGTTCGTCGTTCGGGGATAAAGCTACGAGGCGCGTCACAAACGCACTGCGAGAGCAGTCATGCTGTACGAACAGACTCTGGACTACGCTCCAGATACAATCGAGACAGAGATGAATCACCCGGACATCAGCTCAAGTGTTGGGCCAGGCGGGTCGCGACTGACATCCGCATCAGTAGGACATCGCCCTCCCGGCCGCCGACCTAACTCTTATAAGTCCCTATCCCTTTGTGAATGTGTGTTACCATTCCTAATTCTGATTCCCAGTGCCCGTATCTCTGTTTCGTTAACGAATTCACGCCTATCTTTATTTCCATCCGCTTCACCTGCCGTCCTGCTTTTTTCTCATACGTCTCAGTCATCCGGGTGCCTCAGACACACACGACATTCATGGTCATCAATCCTTCTGCTTGGTTCCAGCGCGAGGTCCTCGCCCCGAGGCGCCTGATATTCAACTTCTTATTCTACAGCATTCACTTGGTGCTCTTCGCGCTGGGATGGTATCTACAAGTACGCCTAGTCCGTTCCCGTCATCCAGAATGTAACTCATCTCGTTACAGGAAACCTCGAAGAAACTAACGCTCCTTAACGCCCTAACCTACTCAGTCTGGGTCTCTCGTGGAGCTGGGCTGGTCCTGGCTCTAGATGGAGGACTCATCCTTCTACCGATGTGTACGTCTCACGCACTCACATTCGCGAGTCATCGACTTAAGCCCTCCCAGTGCGCAATGTTCTCCGCTTCCTCCGCCCGCAAGTTGTAGCCATCTTTCCTGCCGATGAAAATATCTGGTTCCATCGCCAAGTCGCTTATTCGATGGCGTTCTGGTCGGCTGTCCATACAACTGGTCACTACGTGGTAAGCTTTCTTGACCAGTTTGGCTTAACCGTCGGCTACCGAGTTCTGACTTCTGACTCATCAGAATTTCATCAACGTTGAGCGATTGCGTGCGTACTATAAACGCAACCCCTCTCACCTACCTGACTGAAAGGATGTACAGAGGCCCGTCCCGAAACGGCCCTTGACATACACTACACTCAACCTGGCGGTATCACGGGCCACTTCATGCTCTTCATCATGCTGCTCATGTATACGACGGCGCATCACAAGGTCCGACACCAGTGTTTCGAGGCGTTTTGGTATACCCATCACCTCGCATTCTTCTTCTTCTTGGGCCTCTACACACACGCAACCGGCTGCTTCGTTCGTGACACCGCCGACGCGGCATACACAAACACCTTCCCCTATTACGATCCTGACCACTGCCTGGGATACATGTCGTGGCGCTATATCATCTGGCCGGGTATCATCTACTTCTTCGAGCGTATCTGGCGGGAGATTCGCGCACGGCAACCTACACGCCTATCGAAAGTCCTCGTCCACCCTAGCGGTACGTTCAGTCGCACACACACGCACAATCGTTCGCTTACGCAGGTCACCAGGCGCTATGGAGCTTCGCATCGTCAAGCCAAGCTTCAAGTATGTACCCGGGCAGTGGCTGTTCATCAACATCCCGGAAGTTTCGAAGTGGCAATGGCACCCTTTCACGATCACCTCCGCCCCAGAAGATCCATACGTCTCTCTCCACATCCGCCAGGTTGGGGACTGGACGATGGCCCTTGGCGAGCGTCTGGGAGCAGGTCCAGATGTTGTTGCTCAGCTTACGCTTGCGGCAATGCGCGGTGATGAGAAGGATCGGGATGGAAAAGACGAAAAGGACATTGTTAGCCCGGGGCCCCTGCCACCGACACGTGGAGACTTCGTCGAGCTTGATGTCGAGTCTACTTCGCGGAAGATGCCCATGGTGCGCCTGGATGGGCCGTACGGCGCTCCTGCGGAGGATGTGTTCAGACATGAGGTCGCCGTCCTCGTCGGTGCAGGCATTGGAGTTACGCCGTTTGCATCCATTCTGAAGCACATCTGGTACCGCCAGCGCGCCGGAACCCTCGGTGCACTTCGCCGTGTTGAGTTCTTCTGGGTATGCCGCGATGCCGCCTCCTTCGGATGGTTCCAGAGCCTTTTACAAGAAGTAGAGGCGGCGCAAACGGACCCGAATTTCTTAAGGATCAACATCTATCTGACCCAGAAGATCGACGTGAACATGATGTGGAACATCGCAGTGAACGACGCCGGCGCTGCATACGACCCTCTTACGCTTCTTCGTACCCGTACCCTCTTCGGTCGCCCGGACTTCCCGAACATCTACCAGCGTCTGCGTATGTCCATCGAGTCGGGCCAGTACCTTCCCGGCGCAGGCACAGCCTCCATGCGCACTAATGTCGGAGTGCGTTCCCCCCCCCCCCC